CTAGCGAAGGGGGCAGAATACCGGGAGGCGGCGCGGCTCGCCTCCGCCGGATCCTTGATGGTGGTGGCACGGGTCCGGCGGTTGGGCCTGAAGGTGGCGCTGGAGAAGACCGAGGCCCTGTGCTTCTACGGGCCTCGAAAAAGGCCTCCAGCGGGGGCCACCATTATGGTGGACGGAGCCGCGATCGAGGTCGGGTCCAGGATGAAGTATCTTGGACTCGTCCTCGACAGACGGTGGGACTTCCGGGAGCATTTTCGACTGCTCGCCCCGAAACTCATCGGGACGGCAGCCGCTCTCGGAAGTCTCCTGCCGAACGTGGGAGGGCCGAATGTGGGGTGCCGCCGCCTCTATATGGGGGTGGTGTACTCCATGGCCCTCTACGGTGCCCCCATCTGGGTCGACGCATTGTCGGCCCAGAACAGGGCCCAGCTGCGCCGCCCGCAGAGGGTCATGGCGCAGCGGGTCATACGGGGGTACCCTACAGTGGGGCACGAGGCGGCCTGCCTCTTGGCCGGGTCTCCACCGTGGGACCTCGAGGCGGAGGTCCTCGCGGTCGTCTACGCAAAGAAGGTGGAGACCAGGGCCCGCGGTCGGGCCGCCCCGTTCGACGTGGTCGAGCGGTGGCGGCGTGAGGCGCGACGGGCACTCCTCTTGCGGTGGGAGTGGCGCCTCCAGGCGCCCACGGCGGGCGTCAGGCTCGTGAAGGCGGTCCGCCCGCATCTTCGGAAATGGGTGGACCGTAAACGGGGGGTGCTCACCTTCCGGATGGTGCAGGTGCTGAGCGGACATGGGTGTTTCGGTCAATACCTGTGCCGTATTGCCGGGAGGGAGCCGACGGCGGTCTGCCACGAGTGTGGCTGCGTCGAAGATACGGCGCAGCACACTCTGGCAGAGTATGCTGCGCCGTATCTGGTATCGGAGAGAGCGAGCCTGGTGGCTGTTGTCGGTGCCGACCTCTCGCTGCCTGCCGTAGTTAGTGCTATGGTCGGCAGCCAGAGGTCGTGGGAAGCGATGGTCTCCTTCTGTGACGCAGTCATGTCGCAGAAGGAGGCGTCGGAGCGCGAGAGGGAGGACGATCCCCTCTCACATCCGACGCGAAGACGGCGAACGGGACGGAGGAGGCTCGGGTATGCCCGCCTCCTTCCTCCTCCCTAGTAGCTAGTGGGGCAGGGGGCGGCCGGTCGGAGCAACCGGTCACGTTGCAGCGCCGCAGCGTTGGTAGAGGCGCTCAATAGCTAGTGTCGCCTGGGTCTTGATCTCCGTTTT